TTTAGCTCAATGCCACTCGATGCCGTCACCATCGTCCCACACTCCAACACACGCCGCGTGGCAATCTCTTCACTTCTTCTGTCAGCTCTGTTTTTCTCTATGATTCCCCGCGATACTGCTAACTCTAACTCTCCTCCATTACCGCCTCTCTCATCCTACCACGTCTATGCCCTCCCTCTCTCTGTCGCTCATGTGCTCCTGAACAGCGACAGTTAAACGCGATAAGCAGAACTTACTGCTAGTTTCCTCCTTACGTTGAGGCGGCTCATAGCCTCCTAGACTAACCAAATAAAAATAAAAATAAAAATAAAAAGCACCGATATCTACATTTCCGTGGACTCCAAGCGCCGGGAATCTGAACGTCCGTGCGGGGCCGGGGCGAGCCCGACAGGTCCGGGCGGGACGCGCCCGACACACAGGCCTGGAAGAGGGGCTGGTCCGGGGCGCGAACGGAGGCTGGGGGCTCCTTCCCCTCCTCCCCCCACCCCGCCCAGCCCGGCCCGGCCCCGCTCCAAGCCCCAAGGCAGGGAACTCACCAGTAAGTCGCAACTGGCCTCCAGACGAAGGTGAGGCTTCCGTCGCTTGAAGACGCGCCTAAGAAAGCCGCGGGGAGCCTTGCGCTTGATCCGCTTCCTCTGAGAGATGGTGGCAGCGACCGCCATGCTCCGCCTCAGGCACCGGCCGCCGCGGCCGGCGAGGTCCTCCCGGCGCCGCACAGAAGCCACCGTCCGCGGGCAGAGCGAACGCAAGCCCGCCGACCGGCAGCTGCCTCCAGCCCGAGGCCTCGGCCGCCCAGGCGTTTGAATCCGCCGCCGCAGGAGCGCGCCCGGCGCTCGGCAGTGACGTCATCCTGAGCGAGCCCCGCCCCCGGGACGCCTGAAGTTGATGGAAAACACCCGCGGGCGCCCGGGTGCTGTCCTTAAAGGGCCAGGCCAATGTGATACACCGATTCTGAGGAACGATTTCTCCCAGGTTTCACAGAGATGTCGGAAAACTGTGGGAAATGTGGGTAAGCCAGGGCAGCCACACCTTCTCTCCAAGCTCCCACTCTGTACTGAGCCCAACAGCAATGGACTTAAAAAGTAGATGCATTGAAAGACGTTTGTGATGTTGTGTCAGGATTCCCAAAGAACCAATGTCTTCCTAGCAAGGCATGACTTTCGGATATGAACAGCTAACACTTTCCACTTTTACAGAATTCCATTCGATTCTTTCCTGAAGTCTTTTCATGAGTCTGTCTTTTCTTTATAAATGCGGCTCCCTTTCATTTTAAGGCCCTTCCCTGTAACCTTGCAATAAATTCAGTTTTCTTTGAAAACTTTGCTACTTCTTCAAGCAATTAACTTCTCTATTATCTAAGCTACTAGAGCAGTGGTTCTCAACCTTCCTAATGCCACAACCCTTTAATACAGTTCCTCATGTTGTGGTGACCCCCAATTTCATTGTTACAAATTGAACATAATTAAAGCATAGTGATTAATCACAAAAACAATATGTAATTATATATGTGTTTTCCGATGGTCTTAGGCGACCCCTGTGAAAGGGTCGTTCGACCCCCAAAGGGGTCGCGATCAACAAGTTGAGAACCACTATACTAGAGGCTCAGTGCACGAAATTCGAGCACTCAGCAGGGGGGAGGTCCTCAGCCTGGACTGTGCCCTCTCGCAGTCCAGGAGCCCTCGGTGGATGTCCAACTGACGGCTTAGGCCCGCTCCCCATGGGAGAGGCTCTTGCCACCACCACTGCACTTGGCAGCAGTGAGCCCAGCTCAGGGCTTCTGGCTGAGCGGTGTTCCCCCTGTGGGAGCTCACTGACCACCAGGGGCAGCTCCTGCATTGAGCATCTGCCCCCTGGTGGTCAGTGCATGTCATAGCAATCGGTCCTTCTGCTTCTTGGTCGATTTGCATATTAACCTTTTATTATATAGGACTAGAGGCCCGGTGCACAAAAATTTGTGCACTCGGGGGGGAGGGGAGGTCCCTCAGCCTGGCCTGTGCCCTCTCGCAGTCTGGGACCCATCAGGGGATGACCACCTGCTGACTTAGGCCCGCTCCCTGGGGGATTGGGCCTAAGCTGGCAATCAGACATCCCTCTGGCAGCCCGGCAGCCATCGGGGGATGTCCACTTGCCAGCGGGGAGCAGACCTAAGCTGCAGTAGGACATCCTTAGTGCTGCTGAGGAGGCAGGAGAGGCTCCCACCACCACCGCTGTGCTGGCAGCCATCAGCCTGACTTGTGGCTGAGCAGAGCTCCTCCCTGTGAGAGCGCCCTGACCACCAGAGGGCAGCTCCTGCATTGAGCATCTGCCCCCTGGTGGTCAGTGTGTGTCATAGTGACCAGTCATTCCCAGTCTTTCTGCTGTTAGGGTCAGTTTGCATATTACCCTTTTACTATATAGGATAGAGGCCTGGTGCATGGGTGGGGGCCAGCTGGTTTGCCCTGAAGGGTGTCCCGGATCAGGGTGGGGGTCCCGCTTTGGTGCCTGGCCAGTCTGGGTGAGGGGATGATGGCTGTTTTCAGGCTGCCCGCACCCCCTTCAGGGTGGGGGTCCCCACTGGGGTGCCTGGCCAGTGTGGGTGAGGGGCTGAGGGCCGTTTTCAGGCTGGCGGGTGACTGAAGCTCCCAACCTCTCTTTTTTTTTCTTTTTTTTTTTTATTCTGGGATTTATTTACCTTCTATGGCTGTCACTGGAACTGAGAGCCAGCTTTAGCTCTGAGGCTCACTCCAGCTCTGAGACCTCGGCTGCTGAAAGCAGGTATCTGGGTTTGTTTGGCTTCTATAATTGAAACACTGTTGCAGCTCCAGTTCTGAGGCCCAGCTGGCTGAAAGCAGGTTTCTGGGGTTTGTTTAGCTTCTATAATTGCAACATTGTTTCTTAGAGTGCAGCTCAGAGGCCGGCAGCGGCAGGCAGGGAACCTTGGCTTCCTCCATTGCCGGGGCAACCAAGCCTCCTGTTCGCTTCAGCTGCCTGGCTGCCGGCCACCATCTTGGTTGGCAGTTAATTTGTATATTGGCCTGATTAGCCAATGGGAAGCGTGTTGGAGGTACGGTTAATTACCATGTTTGTCTATTATTAGATAGGACTAGAAGCCCAGTGCACAAAATTTGTGCACTGGACGGGGGGAGGAGGCGGTGGTCCCAAAGCCTGGCCTGGGCCCTCTTGCAGTCTGGGACCCCTTGAGAAATGTCCACCTGCCGGTTTTCTTCTGACGACTTTTAAGATGTTCTCTGCCTTTTTTTTGTGTGTGTGTAGTTTCCCTGTAATGCACCCAGGTATTAATTTTCTTTCTCCTCGCAGTCCTCACAGACTGGGACCCCTTGGGGGATGTCTGCCTGCCGGCTTAGGATCATGCCTAAGACAGCAGTTGGACATTCCTCTCACAATCTGGGATCCCTTGCTCCTTACCACCCACCTGCTCGCTCCTTACTGCTCGGGTCTCTACTCCTTAGTGGCAGGCTTCTTATTGCTTGGCTCACTGCTCCTTAGCACTGCTGCAGAGGTGGGAGAGGCTCCTGCCACTGCTGCTGTGCTTGCCAGCTGTGAGCCCAGCTTCTGGCTGAGCAGCGTTCCCGCTGTGGGAGTGCACTGATCACCAGGGCAGCTCCTGCGTTGAGCATCTGCCCCCTGGTGGTCAGTGCGCATCATAGCAACCAGTTGTTCTGGTTGTTCCACCCTAATGGTCACTTAGGCTTTTATTATATAGATTGCCTAGGTAGTTCTCAAACTTCAAGATCCATCAAATGAAACAACCACCCCTGGGATTCTCATTCAAGAAGTCTTAATGAAACTTGAGAATTTGCATTTCTAATCAGTACTCAGACCCTGATGGCATTGCTAGTCTCAGGACCAGTCTGAGATCATTGCGATTTTCATTGCACCTCTAATACTGTGCCTATAGTAATTATTCTGATTTCAATAATCACAGAGATGATCTTTATTTCTGGCCTTCCATTTCCAACACCTCCTCCGTGATCTTATCTTGCATCCCGTGAGCCACTTACACCTGCAGTCATACACTAAGCCTTGCCATTACCAAACACCATACCCTTCCATATTCTCAATCCAATCATCTCACTCTTCAGCCTTATCTCCAATCTTTTGAACTCTCTCCAGTATCCAAATTGCAATAATTTGTAGATGCCATTGGGATCACTGTCCTCTCTCTTTCGATCTCTACCACATCCTAACCCTACTCTACTCATCCCCCACCACCACTGCAGTCTATTATGCACCATTCTAATATTCCCTTGCATTTATTCTCAGCTCTCTAGCCCTTCTCTTTTTTCTCATACTCGCCTTACAAAACCCAGCCACACTTACATTGAAATATCAATCCGCCTTATGCTGTATCTGTGCACTGATATTGCCTAACAGATAGGTCTGGGTCTGGCCTCAATTTAAATTCATGACCACTCAAGTGGGCTCTAAGTACTGCCCATAATAAAGTATATCCTACACATTGCTTATTTTTTATAGACTTTCACCTTCATGTTTTAAATAGTTACAGTGTAAAACATTGGAAAATTTTTGTCACAACCTAAATTTTCAAAATGTTCTCCTTTAAAAAAATTTTTTTTGTTTTCAGTAATTTAAATTCCTTTGATTCAAATGGTTAAAAAGGACAAGGCCACTAGCTCCCAAAACTTCCCAAATTTGAAATATCTTAAGTGTGGACAACCCTTAACTCCAAATCCAGGGAAAGTAAAAGGGAGTCTAAAAAAGAGGACGATCTGGACAGGAGTAGTATTGACACCCCAAGGATAAATACTTCCCTTTCTTTATCTCAAACATTTCTTCTTCTGATGTAATTTTAGTTCTGATTTGCAAAGGTCAAAGTCCCTTTGATACTGCTGTTTACTTTGGAAAGACAAAAAAAAATGTTTAAGGAAAATTATTGAAGAATTCTCACCACCACCACCCCATCTCATGCTATTCTTAGGAGTTGGTGTACATAAGAAACAATTATTATTATATTAAGCTATTGAGAATTTTTGCCGTTTTTGTTGATGACATCTCAATATCTGATAAGAAATTCTTTTAAATAGTGGTTCCTTTTTTTTAGAATCTTTCCTAAAGAAATTCATCCTAAGTATAAAATACATTTTATGAACAGAGACTTTAAAATATTTTTTAAATATCTAATGTATAAATTTGAGTACATGCATTCAGTTAATTATTATGGCCATATTAAAAATAACATGAAAAATTGTAATAGCTTAGAAGAAGACCCGTGGTAATGCCAAGTGCAAAAAAAACACCTATATACGAAGGTAAATGTAATATGATCTGCAGAATATTAGAAAATATGTGCACACACACACACACACACACATACACACACAACACTGGGAAAAATATACCAAAATCTGAACATAGTTTTTAGATAATGGGAATATGAAGTTTTTGATTATTTTAAATGTTGTTCAATTTTCTGTAATAAACATACTTGCAAAAGAAATGAGATATTTCATATTTTAGCTAATTAATGTTGAATATAACTTAAAATGTTTACTGAATAAATGTCACTAAAATATTTCTCTAAGAAAATTATTTACATTAGAAAAAAATTTAAAATTAATTGACAGTACCTTTTGATGTTTGGAACAATCTGAAGAAAACATTTGATTTTGCTTTTCATAAATTATACTAATGCACACATATGGTATATGTTACTAGTTAATGTATTTCTGTGAATAAACATTTTTAAATCATTCTATGAAATGAATGATTTATAAGATTGTTACTGACTTGTGTTTTTGTGCTCACTAGCAAAACATGAGAACAAATGTTAACAATAATTAACACTAG